CCTTGTCCGCTCCACACTCCCCTCCAGCCCCACCACACCTGGCACTTTTCCCTGCAACCGCAGGAAGTGCTACACCTGCCCCCACACCTCCTCCCTCCCCCCATCCCAGGCCCCAAGAAGACTTTCCACATCAAGCAGATGTTCACCTGCACATCTGCTAATGTGGTATACTGCATCCACTGTACCTGTTGTGGCCTCCTCTATATTGGGGAAACCAAGCAGAGGCTTGGGGACCACTTTGCAGAACACCTACGCTCGGTTCGCAATAAACAACTGCACCTCCCAGTCGTGAACCATTTCAACTCCCCCTCCCATTCCTCAGACGACATGTCCATCCTGGGCCTCCTGCAGTGCCACAACGATGCCACCCGAAGGTTGCAGGAACAGCACCTCCTATTCCGCTTGGGAACCCTGCAGCCCAATGGTATCAATGTGGATTTCACAGGCTTCAAAATCTCCCCTCCCGCTACCGCATCCCAAAACCAGCCCAGCTCCACCCCACTTCCCTAATCTGTTCTTCCTCCCACCTATCCCCTCCTCCCACCTCAAGCCCCCCCCCCATTTCCTACCTACTAACCTCATCCCGCCCCCTTGACCTGTCCATCCTCCCTGGACTGACCTATCCCCTCCCTAACTTCCCACCTACACTCACCTCTACTGGCTCCATCCCCGCCTCTTTGACCTGTCTGTTTCCTCTCCACCTATCCTCTCCTCTATCCATCTTCTATCCGCCTCCCACTCTCTCCCTATTTATTTCAGAACCCCTTCCCCTCCCCCATTTCTGATGAAGGGTCTAGGCCTGAAACATCAGCCTTCCTGCTCCTATGATGCTGCTTGGCCTGCTGTGTTCATCCAGCTCTACACCTTGTTATCTCCCATTCCTGAGCGGATTGTTAGGAACGAATGGGAATGTATTCCTGTCGACTTGGAAGGTCGTGAGGTCAGATTGAGCCGTTTTAAGATGGTGAAGGAATTTGATAGAGAGACAAACTTGCTACTGAAAGGGGGCAATTTCTGAATGCTGGAGGTAGCACTTCCTCCACACTAGGGCCGTGGAAATCTGGAACACTTATCTCACCCTGAAAATGTTGATGAAGAATACGGACATTGATTACTTTTCCAGTTTACTCCGGGAGAAAGGAAATCAAATCAGTTCATTGGATTTGCGGAACAGCTTTTGTATCGTCTGGTAAAATGGCAGATCTGGCTTAGAACATGAAAACATAAGCCTTCCACCCATTGGTAATTTAAAAAATCTACCTTCTCCTTAAATTTTAGTCAATGACCTAGCATCCACTGCAGCATGTGGAAGTGACCCCTTCATACCCCTTTAGAGAAATAGTTTCTCCTCATCTCTGTTTTAAACCTGATACCGTTTGTCCTAAAATAATAACCTCTCGTTCTAGATTGCCCCATATGAGGAAATATACTCTTTATGTTGACTTTGTCAATCCCCTCAAGCATGCTGTACACCTCAATTAAATCATCTCTCACTCTTATGACTCCTTACGGTACTGGCATAAACTGCTCAATCTCTCAACACAAGACAAGCCTCTCATCCCTGGAATGGGTTCCCTCAGGGATAAAAGTGGTGTTATACAATTGGCATCCTCCTGTAGCGAGGTTGCAATTCACTTCCAGGAACCTATTGACTGGGAGGCAGGAGAAAGCTTTCGGAGCCAATTATATACCATTGAAGTGACATCCTTTAATGCAGCTGCCTCCATGATTTCCTACCACAAAGTCCTGACCTCTGCCATGGCACCACAACCAGATCAGCCAGATGAACACAGAACTTGCAACAGAGACAGAAATCACTGGAAAAGCTCAGCAGATCTGGCAGCATCTGTGGAGAGAAATCAGAGTTAATGCTTCAGGTCCGGTGATACTACTTCCCTGAGAAAGGGTCACCTGATCCGACACATTAACTCTGACGTTCTCTGCACAGATGCTGCCAGACCTGCTGAGCTTTTCCAGCAACTTTGGCTTTTGTTCCTGATTATCAGCATCCGCAGTTCTTTTGGTTTCTACTTAAGAGCTTGCATGATCTGTGGCCCGGTCACAATAGTTTCAGAGGTGAGAAGGAGTGAAATCTTTCACAGAGTTAAAGTGTGAGCAGTGATGCAAGACCATGAAGAGAACATCAGCAAAAAGGGCCAGAGTCGGCCATTCAGCTCTTCAGGCCTGCACCACAAGGCCTCAACTCTTGTTTTGTGTCAACTCCTCAGAGCCTGGTATTTAAAGCTGTACCTATCTCTTTTTCAAATAACTTTATTGATCTAGCTCCTACAATTCTCTGGGGTAGAGAATTCCAGACCCTCTGTGAGAAGAAGTTCCTTTCCTTTTAATTGACTGTCCCTTTATTCTGTAACTATGTCCCCTAGTTTGAGATTCCCCCATTGGTGGAAACATCTTCTCAATATCGACCCTAGCAAGCTCCTTCAGAGTCTCTGTTTGCCTCATCCTTCTAAACTCTTCTAAATAAAGGCCGAAC